TGTCCAACCAACCAACCATCCATCCATTCATCTGTCCAACCAACCAATCATCCACCCATCAGTCCAACCAACCATTCAATTGTCCATCTGTCCGTCCATCCGTCCGTCCGTCCGTCCGTCCGTCCATCCATCCATCCATCCATCCATCCATCCATCCATCCATCCATCCATCCATGATGTCTGAACCTCTTCAACTGTCTCCCTGGATGTGGCGGAGCAGCGTCTCTATTCAGTGAAATAATTGAACTTCTGATCATTTCTCTGAGGGAGAAATGCATTTAGACCATGAAAATTCACAGAAAATTAATATATTCATAAAGGAAGTCTGAACAAACACATCCTACTTTGCGTCAAACAATAAATCCATTCTTAGCTGATAAATTATAAGATTACTGGCTGTTATGTAACAAAATGAAATCAAATATGTGTTTAATATAAATCTAATGTAGCAATGGTTCTACTGTCTTAAAAAGATCAGCAAAGCAGGATTGCTGCCCTAAACATATCCTCAGACCCAGTGTGCACCTTTTTAAATACACCAACAGATTCTTGTTATTCTGAGATTAGAGTTCTGTACGGTTGGTTCATTCACAACGTTCAGCTCCAACACAGGAAGCAGAGTGTTCTGGATGCACTGGAGCAGAAACCACGGCCTGTGGAGGTCACGGTGATGGATGGACGTTCAGCGCGTTCAATATTTGTGCAGAAGCTCGCCTGTTGTCACTCTTTAGATTTATAATCCAGCAGCCACAATCTGCACTCGTTAGCCTTGGCCCTCGCAAGAGATTTACACTTTCACAGCATCAAAACTGAAATTTTCATCACGTGAATAACAAAACGGCAACCAAGCAGTCGTTTAGGACGTCACTAATTGAGATCAATCACGTTAAATGTATGTTTCAGTCTTTGGATGTTTAGTTTTAATTCCACTCATTTATCTTCATGCTAACGTTGGTGGATGTAAGTGTGGATGAACCACCACGCCTAACAATAAACAAAACAGCAGAAAAAATGTTTCCATTATATCTGATTTAAAAACAATTTCTGAGAAATTAGTTCAACACGGAGACTGAAAAGCAGCACACAAACTAAACCACCAGCTAGCTAACGTTAGCACTTTATGACCATCGGATTAATCCGATGAAGCTGGATAAACGTTTGTCGAGATCTTTGGGATTTTTTAACGAGTTTTCTTGTTTTCTTTCTGCGCCTGGTTTTAATTAGTTAATTATCACACCTGCTTTAATCATCTCAACTCTTCTAAGTAAGGCAGCACCTGTTGTTATCCACCTGAAAATGGTTTCTTAACTTTATATCTTCCTCTTCCGTCAACTTTAATGCAGCCCGAACCGCAACATGCACCCCCACAGTTGTTGCATCAAAACGACCAGCTCAGAGTCGTCGTGCGCGCTATTACTTTTATTGGCAATTTGAGTTACCATGGCGACGTAATTTACTAACAAATAAGCCATTTTTCTCATTCAAAATGCCTGACGGAAAACTGCTATAACTCCGTCATTCTTTGAGAGACTGAGCTGCAATTTGCTCTTGAGCGAGTTTTCATACATCTCTAATGCAAATCAAAAATCCAAGATGGCCGCCTGATTTAAAAAGGATAAATACTACAAATCAGCTAATTTCAGATATTGAGCTAAAATTTTGTGCGGTTATAGCTGAAAAAGTTCATCACGTATTGAATCCAAATCAGAAATCCAAGATGGCCACCATAGCTTAAAATAACAAAAGACTAACTTGTTGTTTTTATGCCACGTTGAGCTGATAACTGGTGCCGAGGGAACTGAACCACAGGAACCAACACAGTCCTGTCAGAGCAACATTGGGAACTGGCAGCAGCGTGACGGCCCGTCAACGTTATACAGGAACGTTCTAGATTAATTCCTTATCCATTCTGTGGAGAGCCATTGCATTCAAAATTTAATAAATTAATAGTTTTATTAAAAATTATGAACAAATTTTCCATTTAATAAATAAACGATCCCATAAAACATTTAAATAAAAATGTTGAGGGTGTTTTTCTCCAAGATTTATTTTTTATTTATTTCAAGATTAATTTATTTAATAATGGAGTTTCATTTTGTGACGCTTCCATTTTGTAAAGCTACTTTACATATTTCAGGGGCTTTTATTTTTTTTAATTTTAAGCTTTTTATTTCATGTTCTTATATTCAAATGAGGGGGCGGGGTTTTCTCTGTGGGGCGGGTCTAGTCAGGATCAGTGGATTGCATCTGTTTCGCAGAAACTGACGTACTCCAATCTTTTTTGACCAATCACAGCAAAGTATTCCCCTCGCTGAGCTCTGATTGGTCCAGCTACCTTCAAATCATGAATGAACTGTGTTCAGAGAGTCAGGAGGACAAGCGTCCACACGGAGGACATCGGAGAACTCTGAGAGGAAATGCAAAGATATGACGATGAAATTGAGCATTGTATATTTACATCTTGCGTGATTCTTTTGCAGTGTGGACACGGAGTGGAGTGGGTCTCCTCTCTGCTGTGAGACTGACAGCTGTCAGAGCTTAAGGAAGTGGGAGGGGCTTACGGCTCGTTGCCGAACGTGCTTTCGTCACCAAAGTCTCTAGATTTGTGGCTAGTCGCTTAAAAAACAAAAGTCACTAGAGGGGTCTGAAAACTCGCTACATAACACGAGAAAGTGGGCAACACTGCAGCCATGTCTATTGTGCTGCAGTCCGTGTGAAACATTGTGCTGCACTTTGGTTCCTCTTCAAAAAAGGGCCTGCGTGTGTTTTAGCGTGAGAAATACAAAGTGTGCCGTGTGCACGTCAGGTCTCACGGTCAGTGCGTGAGACTTGAGAGGTCATCGTTTATTTTATTTGTGATTTAGTTATTGATTTGCCCCGCCTATAAAACTCATAAATGGGCTGCATTGACGCTGATCAGACCCGCCCACAGAGAAAACCCCGCCCCCTCATTTGAATATAAGACCATGAAATAAAAAGAGCTCAACATGAAAAACGGGGTTAAAAACATAAAAGCCCCTGAAATATGTAAAGTAGCTTTATAAAAATAAGTGTCAAAATGAAACTCCATTTTTAAATAAATAAAAAATAAATCTTGGGGGGAAAAACATTTTCTATTTAAATGTTTAATGGGAACATTTATTTATTTAATGGAATATTTATTAATAATTTTTAATAACACTAATTAATTTTGAATGAATGCTCTCCATACCTTTCCCTTTTCGTAGTTTATTTTCTGAATTACTGATTTTATATTTCTGCTCACATCGGTCTTCTTGAATATCCTGCTTTGCTGCATCTTCTTTAAAAACCTTTCTGCTCCTGTACCTGTGATATTTTACAACAGTTTATTAATTTAGTCTGTAGAAATTCTACCAAGCGTACTGAAAGTGATCTGCTCTGATCTATGCTCAGCGTTTTGCTCATTTTCTACATTCAGGATCTGTGCTGTGCACTCCTCCGGTGACGTTGGCTCGTTAAACATGATTATTACGGTAAAACATCAAAAGGTTGGAGTCATAAAAATGAAAACGTTCTTTGTTGAAACTGCCAGTTTGGAGTTAGCCACGTTAGCTTTACGGTCAAGGTCTTTCTGTTTCCATGACGACATAAATCCATGTCCCTCCGTCTGGTCCTGTTTGGTTCTGGCTGTAGGAAGCTGCGGGTCACGGGCCGAACGAGCGCTGCAGGTTCAGCCCGCGGCGCAGTGGGACAGCGTGAGCTTCAGCAGTCCGTCTGCGTGCATCTTGTAGAGGAGTTTGAACTCGGCGGGCAGCTGATGGGACTCCTGCCACTTGGTGGTGAACTTGGTGCCCTTCCGGTCGTAGTAGTGGTACGGCAGCTCCTTGCCCGTGTTGGGGTCCCAGCCGAAGGGCCAGAAGCCGTACAGGTGAACTTGGTCGCACATGGAGGACGCCAGCGTGTACATCAGGATGCCCGTGCTCAGGCGCTTTGGCGACAACTGCTTGGTTTTCCAGTAGCTGTTGGGTACAATAAAAAAACACAAGTATACAGAGCCATTAGCTCTTTGCTAAAGGCCAGCAGTCGTCTGAAGCTTCTGACTGTGATGATGTCAGCAGACAAAATGGCCGACTTTTGATGTAGGAACTGAAACAGTAAAAACGTCAACACGTTAAAGCTGCTGCCACTGGCTCATTGAGGTGACCACGGTAACCACACACCTGCATGCGTCGCTCCCACACTGAACTCTTAAGAGGCAGGCAGAAACGCATACCAGAAAGTAAGCCTCAAACAGTCACCGTGTGGAAACGTGTGGTACTGAAAGAAATCTTGAACCGTTAAAGTCAGAAGCAGGTGGTCATCACGCAGGTCAGCCTGAATGTTTCTGGTGTTCGCGTCTGTTCCGGGCTCAGATACGGTGGAAGTCGAGGAGCGTTCGTGCGTTGGCGCTGCTGCTCTGAGGGATGTGAAAGACGAAGATACGTTTTGATGCATAAACTAGTAAAGACTGTTAGCACGTTTTAAAATGTTTATACAGCTTTACAGCCTGGTGCAGCTGTGGCTGAGCGGTTAGAGGGGTCACCGTCCAATGGGAGAGTTGGGAGTTCGATTCCACCAGCAGTCACATGCTGAAGTGTCCCTGGGCAAGACACTGAACCCCTCACTGTCTCTGCGTCCCATCGGTGTCTGAATGTGTGTAAAGAGCTCCGAGTGTCTTGATTACATAGCACAGTTCTATATACGTACAGTCCGTGTACTTTAATACGACTCTGCGACTGTCGGTTGAGTCTGTGGAAAAACTGAGCTGCACATTTTAATGTTTTTCTGTTTGGCTTTTTCCAAAGTTGGAGTCGACGTGAACCAACGGGCAGAGAGTAATAAGGGGACAAAATACACGTTTCTCTTAATCAAAGGTGACAAGTTTGACATTTAAGAGTAAAGTTGGTGGAAAATCAATAAATTTAGATTTGAATTCACAATAAAGTTTATTCATTGAAAATGTTTTCTAAAGCACAGCAAGCCTTAAAAGGTTCTCATTTAAGGAACAATGTCATTTTATTATTTGAATTTAGTTTTGTACCTTTTGTATATTGGCTTCAGACTGAAGCAATGATGGTCAAAAGATAAATACATTAGGACAGTAAATCTATAATATCACTGTCCTGCTCTGAAATCCTCACAGGAGGAGGACTTTTCAAACTGTTCTCAACAACAGCGTCTCTAAAAGACTCCTCGAGGTGGTGAAAAGCCCGAGAGCTGCTTCTTTCAGGGCCGGCAGATTTAATGGGATTGGTAAAGATTAAGTTACTGTACAAGCAGCTACTCTGCCGCTAAGTACCCGACTTAAGTACCGGACTGCGTGCCATTCCTTTCACTAAATAGCTGTTTTCTCATAATCCGGCTTTGCAGCCTAAATCTTCTCTTCGCTGCAAACATAAAGGAAAAGCTCGGCACGATACGAGAACACGAATGTTGCGACAAACGGAGGAAAATTCAGGAATTAAGGTGCAGCTCTGGTACCAGACGTTAGGGGAGTCCAGTTTGACAAGAAGACGAGGAACTAGGTTTAATAAACTCTTCATACCGATTCTTTTGTTCAAGTTACGTGACTTGAACCAGACAAATGTTTTATTAAGTGGAATTTAATCAGGCAGGGGTGAACTGTCATGATTTTAAAGTATTCAGAGGGAGACCCCAAGACACTAGAATAAAAAAAAAGTCAAACTATTTTTATTACTCAACATTTTTCAGTGAGGTCATCTGGACAGTTTCTTTTTTTTGTGCTGAAACGTTTCACCTTCGATCCAGAAGGCTTCATCAGCACAAAAAAAAGAAACTGTCCAGATGACCTGACTGAAAAATGTTGGATTGTATACCTGGATTATTGAGCATGGACTTTGTTGTTTTCAACCAGATTGACAAGACTGTCAACAAGGAAGAGGGCCGACAATGGAGGAGGGGGCGTACCAAAGAGACCATCTTATCACAAGCAGAACTGGTTTGTTCCACTGTGGAGTAAGCTGTTGGGGGAAGAATCAGTTTTGTTGTGTTTCCTTGACTGATGAAGCCTTCTGGATCGAAGGAGAAACGCTTCAGCACAAAAAAAGAAACTGTCCAGATGACCTGACTGAAAAATGTTGGATTGTATACCTGGATTATTGAGCATGGACTTTGTTGTTTTTATTACTATTTATAATTATTCAGTTCAATATCTTGTTGGTTCTGGAGTCCAGACATCTCTTTCGGCTGAGAGACAGTCTCTCCAGCATGTTCTGGGTCTTTCCCAAGGTGTCCCAGTTGGACATGCCCGGTGCACCTGCCTAGGGAAGTGTTCAGGGGTCCATCCTTACCAGATGTCTGAACCACCTCAACTCAATGTGGAGGAGCAGCGGCTCTACTCCGAGTCTCTCCCAGAGAACTGAACGTCTCACCCTATCCCTGAGAGTCCAGCTACGCTGCGGAGAGAACTCGTTTCTTCTTCGTGATTCGCCACCTTATCGCGGTGGAGGAGATTGTGTGCTTGAACGAGCTGTGCTGTCTGGAACAATCATCCCTCCCGAGGCAGACTGGTCAAACAAAGAGCAATTTAGAACAATCATATGGACAGAAGACAGCAAAGAGCTTGATGTCCCTCGCCCAGCGGGTAACCAGGACCCTGAAGCCAGTCCTGCCAAAGGGGCTTGTCGGTGAGCGCCTGGTGACTGGACCTCTGCCATGGGATCTGATCAGACTAAGCCCAAATGAGTTACTTTGGTTGGCCGTCCAGTGGGCCCAGGACTTGTAGAAGAGGCCATACAGTTGGGCTGCATGGTGCCATGGACAGCAGCTCTAACCCAGGCTTAATAAATATCAGTGTGTTGTCTAGAATATAAAAATGTAATACCAGTTAGGTTCCATGTTTTCCTTTCAAACTAGATGCTCATTTGAACACTGCAACTGGAAATGTACCCGTCTTCTGGCCATTTTCTTGCATTGCACCAACTAGTCTCCAAAGATCCCAGCCCAGTGAGATGCTCTCCTAAAAACCTGATTTTTACAGGTTTTTAACAAAAACAAAGTATTTCTGTTTTATTGTGTGTATCAGACTTTTTTACACGACGCTGCCTCTTTGGTTGACAGTGCTCTTAGGCCAGTTCAACAGAACCAGAATGCCAACAATTATTAGACGTTTTAACGTGTTTATAACTACACTTTTCATCTCTTCTACAAACATTTGTTGCTAGCAGTCGTTTAAAAAGTTTCTGTTTTTGGACATAATCTCATGACTCCACCCTTGATGTTTCACGACTTAGTGAAGACCGTCTCACCGTTAATTGGTTGGCTGATGACAACGTTTGGACACAGCGTAGTTGTGTTTCTTACTTGTTTATATATTGCATGATGTTGCCAGGCCAAGCTAGCTGGATCTTCAGCTGCCCTCGATGTTCCACGAAGAAGTCCACCAGCGTTCTTGTCACCGTGGCCGACGTGTGGAAGAAAAACGCTGGGATCCAAAGAATGGTGCTGTCCAGCTTCTTCAGGCTCAGGAAGAAGTTGTTTCTGTCCTGAACAGTCAGTAGATTATTGTAGTACTTCTCCAGGATGCTGGGGTTAAAGGTCGTCATGTTGGTGCGACGCCCAACGTCCTTCTTGAAGATCTCCGTTGGCGCAAAGTTGCACCGGAAGACGTATTCATATTTCTCGATCTGGGCACCGCAGCGTGAGCCGGTAAGGATCCCGCTGTTCCCGACCACAGCGCAGACGTTGTAATGTTTGTTGAGGATCGGCGAGGCCTCCGGGAGGAGCGATCTGAAGTTCTCACCGATGGAGTAGACATATTTATGACTGGAGTAGTCAAAGTGCATCAGCTGCCCGACTCGGACCGAGTCTCGAGTCAGTGTGAAGTTGTTGGGGATGTCGATGTACTGAGACATCTCGTTCCTGCAAGACATTACGACAACTTTACTGTAATATTTTACTAACAGATTATACCAATATCTGTATTTTCTGAGCCATTTTAAACCAATTAAATCAGAGCCAACTATGAACCATTAAATCAGACCCTCAAAGATAAACCTTTGAGTGGTTTATTGATCCAGCATCTTTACGAGTCATTTGTCTACCTGCGTTAGTTCTGGTGTACCACAGGGTTCTGGGCTGGGATCACTTCTGTTTTCTTTGAACATCAGGGCGAATGACATACAGCTACAGTCAGAAGTTTCCATCTACGCATCAAGAGTCTGAATGTCGTTAATTTGGGCTTTTATTGGTTTATTTATTTAAACTGTTCTATTTCCAGGGTGGAATGATGTAACGACAACTTAAATTATTTTAAAAACAAGAACTGAGCTCACAAGTTTGAGATTGTTGTGCATTTTCTTTGATTCACACAGTGTCTAAATTATACATAAAGACTCAAATATCCATATTTGATGTCTCGTAGCAGTTCTCACCTGGACCTCTGGCTTTTTGTTTCCTTCAACGAACTGATATTCTGGCGGATATTTGACGGCTCTTCTTCTTGTCAGAGTTGGTGGAGTTCGTTTAAATCTGTTGGATTCTTGGTTTCAGTCACGACTTTTAATCTGAGTTCAGAACGTTCCAACTTGTTTAAAGTCACGGTTTTGGGAAAGTCGTTCCAGAAGCTCAATGTCCCCAATGTTGCCCAGTCAGAACCCAGTTCTGATGTTTGGGATTGTGGTCCTGTTGGGTCCAACTATGTCCAAGTTTCAACCATCCAAGTGTTGATTTGAAGTTGAAGAATTTGCAAGTAGTCCTCCATGGTTCCATCCACTTTAGCCCCACAGCATGATGCTACCACCGCCATGCTTCACAGTTGGTAGTTTTCTTCAGTTTGAAAGCCTCACCTCGACGTCTCCAAACATCCTTCTTGTCCTTCTGTCACTGTGTCCAAACAGCTCAATCTTTGTCCCATGTGACCATCAAACTTGTCCCCAGAGGACCTTTGTCTCATCCTTGTGGAAAGCTGCAGGTTTCAGTCCAGCTTGAAGGTTTTGGAGTGTCTTTCTTGTCCCTCTGTCCACATTGATGTAAAACTGGCTTCACTGTAGACATGGACACTGGTGGACAGGGACACTGGTGGACATGGACACTGGCACTCCAGTTTATGGCGGGTTGGAACCTCGATGGTTCCTGTGTCGTTCCTCAACAACCAGGCGAGTTCCGGTCTTCGGAGGACAGTTTGGGTCTTCAAGAGAAACCATCAGCTGCAGTCAATCATTGTAACTAATCAGAGGGTCATAGACCTTCCAGGACCTTCCAGGACCTTCAGCACCACATATTAGAAGATTTATATGAATATATGGATACATTTGTGCCTGTATGTATAAATGTGACCCTGTGTAGATTTGAGGAGAATCAGATTTCCTCTCTGTAGAGTTCCTGCCCTTAAAAATCATTCCAACCCATTTCTTGTTTTCGTTCCAGCCTGGAAGAAGAACGATTCAATTAAACCGTTAAACCCCAGAAGAACTACATTTATACAAATTCATGCTGGACACTTGTGACGGGACATGTTTTGTGTTGAGCCGATGACACAACTGTTTGTCTATAACGCTACAAAAACGATTTGGTTCTTGAAGTTCCAGGTCAGTATCAGATGTTTTAGTCCTAAAGTGAGAAATGTGGGGTTTAATTCAGGTTCCCAGAGACGGGAGAAACCTTGGCACCACATCCTTTAGCCATTTGTTGTCTCTTACTCTTACATCGAATGTTTCTTTACATTCTTGTCGTGTTGCCGCCGCAGAACGCTGGAAACCAGAAGCCACCTCAGCTGATCCAGACTACAGAACCACCACTGAAGCTGGCTACGATCAAACCCTTAAAAACTCAAAGATGGTCCAAAGTCCTGCAGCCGTGGCTGGTTCTGAAAGGAAAGGCGGCTTGAGACACGGACTTTAGGACAGTTGGGCCTGCTGAGGGGTCTAGTGGGAAACAGAATAAGACCCTTCAGTGTTGCTTCTCTCTGTAACTAAAATGTTTTGTCCAAGTGAACGTCGTATAATTTCCTGCTTCGGTGACATTGCAAGTGCTCCGTGTTAAAAGAAACCAGCCGAAGCGTTTTCACAGCTGAAGTGCTAAAAGCCCGTCGGACCCTCCAGGACCTGGTTTACCTCAGCTGCAGAAAGGCGGAGCTGTTGTATCTCCATCTGGAGGAGTTCTGCAGGTCCTCGCTGAGCGCGCTGGTCAGAGGAGTGAAGTCCGGGTCGAAGTACTTCAAGGCCAGCTGGGAGCTGCCGGACAGGAAGTGAGACGCAGATCAACTTCCTGTTATCAGTCAGCATATGTTCAGCTCTAAACGTTTACGTAACGTCTACGTAAAATTCAGATAAAACTTGAACAGCAGCTCAGAATCAAACAATTCGTCATCATTATGAAATGCTTGTATTAAAATAATTAAATGCTTCACCTCAGGTCAGGTTTGCGAGGCGGCCTCTCTCTGCAGCAGAGATTTGAGACAAAATACAGAAAGAACTCTTATTCTTGTCTTGAGCTTCATGACACGGACACCAGCGGGTTCAAAATGGCGTCTAGCTGAAGGGTCATGGGCATGCAGACCAGGTGCAAACGTTAAACACTGCCATGCACAATGAGGGGGCGGGGCATGGAGAAGCAGGTAAAGGACAGGAGCTGGGTCAAGATCAAAGCATGCTGCAGGGAGACTGAACCCCTACACCCCTTCAGGGGGAGGGGAAGGAGTGAAGTGATTTGCAGGTGGGTGCAGCTCTCAGAAACCATCAGATTCATCGGGCAGCTCCGCTCCTCCGGAGGGAAACCTCGGACGGCGAGCGAGGAGGAAAACCAACGCGTCTCAGGCCGTAAATCACGGCCGCCATGACGGTCCGACGTCGTCCTGACCCAAAGGATTTACAGGAGCAGCTTCACCGGACGTTTCCAGCTAAACTTTATAAGAAGCTTAAACTGCGCAGGACTCCGACTGAAAGATTCAACGTGAGGCGGCGCTCCAAACTCTGGGCCCGTCCGGTAAAACGTGCTCACGAACACTCGGGAGGTTAAAATGAATGAACACAAAAGATGCAAAAAAAAACTAAAAATCTGCAGAAAACAAAAGTCATTTCAACAAAAACGAGCATCAAAGGTCTGCTTTACGTCCTCGAGCTGTCGCCACGGCAACGCATGCTGGAACCCTGAGCCTGAAGCCCGTCAGGTCTCAAACACCTACAAGGACCAGGAGAGCGTCAAACCTTCGAAAAAAAAACAAAAAAAAACTGTTCCTTTAAGGAAGCTAAAACTCTGACCAGGTGAAAGGTGACCGGCCTGCCGAGTCTGTTAGCAAAATAAGTGGCGACCCGGAGAACCTTTCAGAAGGTACTTGGACCGTTGATGAGACACCCGCCCAGCTTTAAACGATCCTTGAGCCCTCAGAGCACGAGCTGGGGATGACTCTCGGCTACTACCACACCAAGTTTAGCTCGTGTCCATTAATCTGACCGAGCGGGAGACATTTCTGTTCGCTATGGGCTGCGGCGGCCATCTTGAATCAGGCGGAGTTGACGTTAATCAGATGTTTCCATGATTGCTCGCAGAGTTTCACCAACAGTCTGATAACGAACCGTTCACACCGTCATCCAGTTCTTCTCTACGTGTTTCAGCAGCTTTCGGCTATTTCAACAAATCGAAACGTTCAGCTCCTTCAGGACAATCCTGCTGTAACTTTGGTATTGGTTCAACTTTAGCTTTTTAAAATATTTAGCCTTTTCTGCCATTTTGTTCTCACAGAAAATGAACTGAGCTCATTTTCCATCTTCAGACGTGTTCACAACCTTTTACTGCTCCTTTCACTGTTTGTTCTGCTTCAGCTTCTTTCAGCTTCCTGCTGCAAATTTAAACTTTTTCAGCTACTTTCAGCTGTTTTTTCAGCTTTTTTGTGCTCTTTCAGATTATTTCGGCTAACTACATTTTTGTGCTTCTTCTATCTTATTTGAGCTAATTTCAGCTTTTAAGCGTCTTTCTGGCTTTTTAAGCTGTTTTCAGCTGATTTCTGCTTCTTTCAACAAACATGTATTTTCTGCTTATTTAAACTTGTTCTACCTTTTCAGCAGCATTTTTTTTAGCATGTTTCGCTAGTTTAAGCTGTTTTCAGATAAATTCAGGGTTTTTGTGGTCACTTCTGATACTTTCAGATTCTGCTAGTTTATTTCAGCTACTATTTAGCTGTTTGTGCTATTTTTAGCTTTTTCAGCTAATTCCACTTTTTTTTTTTTTTTAGCTAATTTCAACTCTTTTCACTTCCTTCTGGTAATTTAAGCTTCTTTCTGTCTTCAGCTACTTCTCAGCTACTTTTTTTTTTGCTAATTTCACAATTTTTGTTCTAATTTTTGCTTATTTAAACTAATTCAGCAAATAAGTGTTCTTTCTGCTTTAACTTCGGCTTGTTGTTCCATTTCAGCATGTTTTTAGCTAATTTCAGCCGCATTTTTACAGGAAATGCAATTTCTCTAGTTCATTCTGTAAATCTGTAATTCATAAATTATTTTGCTAACAAATATATACACGAGTGTCTGGGGGACTAAGCCTATTTAAAAAGGTTGGGTCATTGCCCCCCTTTGGCCACCCCTTGGTGGTGCCCCTGGAAACGTGATCTTCCTGCTGGAAAGTGGTCCCTGGCTGAAGTGGAGGTGCTACAGCTAGCTGCTGCTGTTTGTGCCACAGAATTCTATGTAAACTGTTTCGTGTCAGACTAGCCATTAGCTCGTTAGCTGGTTTCTTTAAACTCGGCTTGTTCAAAGAGCCATCTGTGGCAGGTAAGATGTTGACTGTGCATAACCTTCCCCGGAGCCACACTTTAAAAGACCCGAACTGTCCCTTTAAGGCTTCACCAGGTGCACCGCCTCTCGCGTTTTATGACCAGAAATAAAGATGCAGGTTTTGGTTCTGGTGGATCAGGACTCGGATCCCTGCAGGCCTCTGACAGCAGGGAGGTTCTGATCCGCTCAGCAGAACCGAGCCTCCAGGACCAGCGCGCTCTGCAGACCTTCAGTCCAAGACCCGAACCCAAACCAGCATCAGGTCCACGGGCCTGGACTCACCGGAACCCCGAGTGGAACATGTACATCCTGGGCCCTCCGTTGGGTCCGTATCTGGTGGTTCCGAGCAGGAAGTCCTTCTTGATGGACACGTAGCTGATGAGGGACAGGATGAGCAGCGCCACGCTGAAGATGATGAGCCCGAGCGCGCTGGCGATCCGCACCATCCTGGTTCTGATCCACCAGACCCGGCCCGGCCCGGTCCGGTCCGCCCACCCCGTCCTGTTCGGATCAGAGCATCAGGGAGGAGGACGGTGGATCCGTGTCATGGACGGAGGAAGCACCGGGTCGCGCTGCTGATTTCGTCACGTGAGGAGGAACAAGTGACGTCATCACGGTCCGTGCGTCCGCAGGGGGTGGGGGCGGTGCTGGACCTGGTCTCTCCTGGTGGTCCTGGTGTCGCTTCAAGGAGAATCAGCAGCATCCGAGGAGGAGCTCAGAGGTGGACCAGGATGGACCAGGACCAGGACCAGGACCAGGATGGACCAGAAAAGTTGTTAAAAAAAAATAGTATCCATTAATCTGAAGCTCATCTGACTTCTGCTCTTACTGAGCTCAGTCAGTTGCTTGTCGCCCGCCGCCTTCAAAGTAAATGAACAACAATAAATAATAAACAACAATAAATAATAAACAACAATAAATAATAATAAACAACAATAAATAATGATGAACAACAATAAATAATAACAACAAAAAATAATGATAAACAACAATAAATAATGACAAAAAACAATAAATAATGATAAACAACAATAAATAATAACAAAAAACAATAAATAATGATAAACAACAATAAATAATGATAAACAACAATAA